ACAAACCTAGTTAGCCAATGAAAATGTTAGTGCGTGGTTCACGTCCAGGCCATTACATTCAAACACCTACACGTGCTAATAAGGTTCCAGAGAAGCAATATATTATACAGATGTGACCAGTTGATTTCAGCCCATTAATAAAAAAGCTACCGTTTGTTTCCAACAACTGAAAGAGCTTTCGAATTATTACATTAAAATCTAGGTCTTGTGACTTTCTAAAGTTCAAAGTCTGAAGAGCAGGAACTATTCAATAACCAACTAAATACAAAGTCTTTTATCATTTCTTAATTTTCCACATAACAACCTGGATCAGGCTGGTGGCTTTTGAATGTTGTGCACTACTAAAGGCTTTGCCAAGCACCGAAGAAGAATATCTGGAGAATTGCCCCCCCCAAAAAATGTTGGTTTGCAAAACATCCAACAAAGGCAGAGCTGAGGAGCTGCTACTGCACCAATGCAGTCAGGAGGTGGTTTGTGACCTGCGGGAGGGCGAGTAACAAAACGCCTATCCGCAATGCACATGCTTCTATTTATAGATTAGCAAAGCTTTCCTCAGCATCAGGACAGAAAACACACCATCCCTTGTTCTTTTAAAAAAAAAGAGGCGTTTCATATCCACATTCTGGATGCTCATTCCCTGCCAAAAAAGGAAGGGGCCAGAAACCATGTAAGATTACAGAATCCTGATAACATCACCTTAGGCAAAGACTCTAAAATACACGTTTGCAAGGTTTGCTCTCATGGCCATCAATAAACCAAAGAAAGCCGTAGGTACAAAATGAGGTTACATTAAGTTGGCAGAATGATGTTTGGATTGAGAAGTTGACCTCGGGTCGAAGGATTTTGGTTTGAGAAAGGCTCTTGTATTGATTGTGGACTCGATATCCTTACATATAGACTCTGATTATCCTTAGATACAGACTCTGATTCAGATGTCAATTTTCCTCTCCACTAACGTAACAGCCACGTTGAGGAATCAGAACTTTAAGTAACCATTTAGACCCAGTCATGTGAAGTATCTGGTCTGGGTTCACAACCTATCCTTATAACATCCAATACAGAGATTTATTGATTAAAAGTATTAATAGGGTGATGTGAAAATCACTGCAATCAATTTATTTGCAAACATGCAAAGGTTTAATGAAAGTGAGGAATATTAGACAAATAGAAGGTTTGAAATCACCAGGTACTTCAAATGCAAGAGCTCATGGCTTGAACAATTTCCTTCACTAAACCAAGCAAAAAGAGGAATCATTCTTTAAGGAATGGGTGAGGGGAATGACTTCAAAGTTTTTGCAAAATTTGTCAAAGAACATAACATAGTGCTTGCAAAGGTTTAGATAAGCCAGAACACTCTGAATACGTTCTGATTAATTGAATGGCTAATTATGTCTCATAGAATGCTTTTATTGATGTGTAGTTCGATGGCTTGTCACTTTTCTTGATAAATTATCAACTAACTTTGAAAAATGATAGTTTAAGGCAGTGTACCAACAGTTACAGCTGCAGTTCCATCAATAAATCACATCTTCCATAAAAGCACAAAACTATTGCTTATGTAGCACTTATGATGGAAATGCATTCATAAGCTGTATTTTTTACCATAGCCACAGTAAAAATGTTCTACAAAACTCTTATATATATATAAGCTTAAGTTCATAAATTCTTTACATTTTAAAGCTTTAAAAGTAATCCATTACTTAAGAATTTACAGTGAAGCTTACTTAGATTTGGTTCTGGTCTAATACAAAATCTGTATAAAAACAGGACACATTTAAGTGATTATCGTTCACTACACTGGGGTTACTGCAGCTGAGAAATAGCTTTTTTTTAAAAATGTAAAAGCAAACTCTAATGCTTTCAAGAAACTGGTAGAAAAAGTTCAAAGCTGTCATCACCAACAGGAAGCTATGTTTGCGATCTCTCATGTTGCCATATGTGGCATCTCATTCCAGTTACAAATTCTACTTTGGAAAGACATTAATGGAGTATTTAGGAGCAGAAAGCCAATAAAATAGCTTGGCTTGTAAGCTCGGCATTTGTTAAATGGCAAGGGTGCATGAAAACGGGACATCAAATCAATTTAAACTGATTAATGAGATAGGTAGTCCTGATGACGTGTAAGTAATGCCACTGGAAATATTTTAAAGTTGAAGTTTTGTTTTTTAAAAATATGCCATTAATATAAAAACATCATGTTACCATTCTGATTAAAGTTTATGAAGATGTGGGGTGGGGGAGGGGGGGGAAGGTGTTCATATATTTACGTATTTGTTACCAAGCTAACTAAATTATATTGCTGAATTATTGCCAACTCTGACAATTTATACAAAATAAAAATGACAATGTATTAGCGCATAGGGAGTAGTTCTTTTCACTGCTTAAGTGCAGCGATTCTGATGAAGTTGTTTCTAATGGGATTTTACTGCTATAAATGCATATCTAATTTGTTTCACTTAAGGACAAGTGGAATATCTTGGCTTTGCACTTGAACACTGAAACACCAGCCATATCATACAAGATTATTTGATGCTCAAACATCTGCCTTGCACTGTAACTCAGCATTATTTTCTTGTTAAAACAAGTTATCTAAAAATGAGTGCTGGCAAAAACTGCAAAATAATTAGCTTGGGGGTAGATACAAAGCATGCCATTGCACTGAAATAGATTGAAAAATTGTGCCATATGTATAACAGGATAATTTAAGACAGCTTGGAGGAATAAATGGGCACTTTTATATGTACAGTGAAGAATCTCATTAGAGTAAATCTTTACCAAGTCAAACCTGCTCCTCCATGGGCTCTGATATTCCATCAGCACCCTCCTTTTCTCATATTGTCCCTCATTTCCTACATTATTGTCTATTGTATGCCATTTTTAACTTCTGTTTTGCATATAATATACAAATTCAACCTTCCCTCATGTCCAAAGTGTATCCTGTCTAACCTACCAGCTTTAGCTTGGTGCTGTGACCTTGTGCTTCCTCTACCTCAGGCCACAGGCAGCCCTGATGCTGATCATTACAGAGTTTGATGCTTTGTGCCCACTGACCATGTTGTGAAATGGACCTCAGAGCCACAACTATATCAGTGCCCACCATCATGTATGTATAAGACAAATAAGATTTTTCTGCAAGTTAATTTTTACTTTGAATCCTATAAATGGCTATATTTGCAGAATTTCATATATTTATGCCGTCAAATTAGCCAAGTTAGCAATAGCTTCGGAAACGTTACTCATTATTGCAGGAAAGGGTCATTGATTTAACAGTAACAAAACAGTAAGCATTTCTCTGAAACACCATTTAAAAAATGTTTGGGCCACTCACTGATGACACTACGTTAGATTTTTGTTAAAGTATTAAACGTGCTTTGCTTTACTTGCAATTTGTAATAGGAAAATTAATTTAGGGTTCCTAGAAATTCATTCCTTCATTAAATCATTTACTACCACTCTCCTTTCATAAGTTCTATCCCCAGCTGTAAGAATTAGCTTTTGAATTTCTACCTACAATACCCAAGTCCTATTCCATCCTTAGGGTTATGTGCAGTTTACAATATTAATGGCTGGTTGATTTATTTTTGTTATTCATGTTTTCATATGGGAGCATTTACACAGTCTCTCCTCATTATGAAATATTCACTATCTTGATACAATTTTATTGGCGGTTGTCGCTTTGATATTCCAAAATTATATGTATTGAAAAGATCAAAAAGATCAATAGAACGATGTGATGAGCCAAAAAAAACCAAACGTTTCAACACGTTTTCTTGCAAAAATCATAAAACGTCCAGATTGCTGGTCTTTTTCTGCAAAGCTTTTGTAGTGTTGCCATTACACATGCAGAGATATTACCACTCGGGGAAAGATAACTGAGAAAAGCTGTATTCATTTTACATTTCTGTAATAAAGCAGTCTCCAATCTCACAATCTATAATTAGCCACTTGTGGAAATAAAAAACAACTTCAGCAGCACATGGTGAACCGTTAGGTTTGCTCAATATGCAACAAGCAAGAGGTTCTTTGAGCAATATCCCCCACTTTGGAGCAAAACTTCACAACACTCTGCTGCCGTTCGTTCAGAGTTTTAAAACAAAATAATTCAATGGAGTTTTACCGTTAACATATCCTTGAGTAGCAGAGAGAGCGAAAGTTTTGACTGCAAGTCAAGTTTACATCAGACAGCGTAGGGGCTGGAGTTGGGCATCTACAAGTTCACATTAAATCACGGTCATTTATACCTATATTCCAAGTCTCATAATCACAGCTCAATCTAAATGGAATGCAAAGGAACACGATTAACTGCTGTGACAAGCAGCATGGAATGTAAAGCCTCTTTGCCTTGGGGTACAATACTGTGGTGTCTATTGATCAGGGTTCCCATTCTGCTTTGATACACATGATATTCTAATACCCTCTAAAGACCAAGGTGAATTCTCTCAAATGCAGTCAAGCGCCTTTTCTCATTACAATTGCTGAAGCCGAGCTAAAACTCTGCAGTATAGACAGAGACAAGAAAGGAAAAGTGAATATCTCTGAATTATATCGTACAAAAGGTACGCACTATTATCTTTCTCAAATAAAGGGTAATTACATTTTAAATCAGTAAACAGTCAATGTTCATTCCTAGGAGAAGAGTTTATGGTTCTCGCATTAAGTTTTAAAATTTTGACTTTCTTTGATTTCCTGGATGGAATTTTTTTTCTACTTACAAGACTAGGGAGCAGTGGTTACACACACATACTCACACACACACATTCACACACACACAAATACAGGATGGACTACAAAATGTGTTTACTTAAGCGAAGAGCATGCATTTAAACATATTACTTTACATATATATTGATGCAGACTGGGGCAGAACAAGTAAATATCTGCCCAAGATATGATCTAAACCTGTGAGAAACAATTGGTGAGTGCAATCCAATAATGGTGGCATTGTATGCAGAGTACTCCAGCTGGTAAAAGAGCAGAAATGATTAAATTTCACTTTGTACCTGAAAAGAATCGTTCTTCCTCCTCTTCAAGAACAACACTCTGCATGCAATCCAGTTCCCATTTGTGCACTTTGCTCTTCCACAAGGCTGGCACCAGAACATTATACCGGGAGCTTTAAGTGAAACGAGAAACGTGTGTGAAAGCAAATCCAGAAAAACTCAACAAACATTAAAAGCTTGTAAACTCAAAACATTTAAAATACACCTGAAATTCAATATTTCTTGGCCTAGATGAACAGAAAATGCAAACAAAATGAAATTGCCCCTTTGGTAGATTTGTGTCACCGGTTGCTATCAGAAACTGTCCCCAAAAACCCATGTGTAATCAACTGCTTGTGAGATCAGGGTATCTATTCGATCTGCAGCTCTGTTCAGAACCAAGCTAGGCTCTAACATAACATTTTCGTTGTCGAAGGAGAACTTTCAAAGCAAGTTGAGCAGAGGCTGAATGTTGGGTCTAATGTAGTCATCCATTTGTTTGTAATTCTAAAAGTTAGCAGTTTGCTTTGTCATTGAACTCCTGGTTTGTGGGTGTTGACTTGTCACTTATAGGATATCAGTTTCTCAAGGTTTCTGTTTTAATCTAAAAGAAAGTTTAAAATCTGAAACTCGTAACGGCTATTTTGTTTAATGCTGTGGGAGATGATCCCATGACCAGTTTATTTTTGACACTGTTTAGAAACTAACTGGCAAAACAATTCTGGTTCCATAATGAAAGCCCAAGTTTTCCTGATCACAGCCACGTTGTCAGGGAGAAGGAAGGATGAACAAAAGCTGAAAAAATACTTTTGGGCAAACTTCCAAAAAGCTAGAACCAGAGAGCACCAACAACAATAACTTGCATTTATATACAGCTCCTCACGTTTGGTAGCCCTCAGAACCCTCGACAGTGGTGGAGTACGACGCCATTAACAAAGACCTAGCAATAGATATTCTACCCATTACTCCTGGACAAGGCATCGTGCAGCATTAGGGGAGAAAAGGAAAAAAAAAGTGATCAAAATTGGAAGAAATATTTTTCTAAAAATGTTGCTTTTTAAGGAATCCTTTCACAATAGCTTTCAAAGTGACGTTGGCTTCTATCCCAAGGAAGCTGTCCTCTATTTAACTTTAAAACAAATAAAAATCAAGGTTAGAGCACAGGGAAATGGAGACCATGGACATAGAAATAGCAGTTCTACTACTGTCTAAAGAGCCGGCATCTGTTGGCCATTACGCTTTGTCGTGAAGCAACATGATCTGCACAAACGTTCTGCATTTGGCTTTGTTTCAAGAGCACAGAGCGAACAAAATAAAAGGCAAAAATCAGGTCACTCTCGATCACTGTAAAGTTAAATTTCTGTGACAAGCACAGGCCTATCAAGCGAGCTGCTGTCAATGGGAACAATTGCCAACGCTGACAGGATCACGTTTGTATTTTTTTTTTAAAAAATCCACCAGATGGATGTAGTGTGAAGAATTTAATCAGCTTATTTTACAATAGAGACCGACTTTAGCACCAGTCAAACAAATATTGGATTAGTTTCAATGTGGATGAATGCAGCCAGAGCACAGGTGGTTTGGGGAGGTTTGTCTTTTACTCTTGGTCCTTGAGGACAAGTTGCAATCCTATCATTCAAGGTCCAAGGCACGTTATATCACCACTAGTCACCAATGATATTACAGAAAACAAATTGCAAGGCACCACCGAATTCTGGTGTAAGAAGGTATTAATGGGCAGTAACAACAAGTACCTGGGAGCCAGACAACCATAATAATAATAACTCTAATAACAATAATAATCCTTTAATTTGATATAACGGCTTATCACATAATTGAGACGCTCCAAAGTGCTTTACAGGATAAACTGCAAAGTGGGTTGACTGGGTATTTTGTGGGTGGAATGGGGCAGCCAATTCACACGGCAGTTTCACGCCCACAGACAGTCGTGGATTGAAAAACTAAAGATGATGAGCAACATGACTGTGGACTGAGGCAAAGTTACCCACAATTGGGCTGAAGTACCTGTCTACATACCAGTAAAAACAATGTCTATCCTTGGTTTGAGGTATGAGAATACTGTAGCTACTTTAATGACCACTTAAAGGTCACACACCACCAGTGTGTTCCAGTTTGTGACAGATGTCCCCACCTGCTTTTATTATTTCATATGTGGAATTCCAAAGGATTTATTGATTGCTACATTGATTGGTGGTATGTGTAAACAGCTCATCAGAAGCAACACAGTGCTATGTCTTACTGCAACCCTCATATCTTTGTTCTGTCTTCTGTACTTCCTGAGAAAACCTGGTTCATTGGAATTGTTTTCAAAACTACCCCCATTTTGTCAACTATTTTACCCACCTTGCAGATAGTTTTACAAACACCCAAGAGGAATTAGATCCGTTCTGTCAAAAAAAAACGCACAGAGCTATAACATACTAATCAAAATGTCCTACCAAGTTTGTTGGCACAACTATTTGTGTAATTTTCCTCAGGAAAAACAAACCCGGACATTTTGTGGTTCAACGACAATGCTTTCTGCTGGAAAATCTAAAGTAACTTTGCTGCTATGACAACATCTAATATAACACCTGGCAGCCGAGGTTAGCTCTGCCCATGGGATCTGTTGTAGCCACTTAAAAACACATTTGCTGCTGAATCAGGCTTGTGGTTTACATTTCCATCCATCTTGACCTCAACTACTAATGAGCATTGCCAATTATACGGACATCCATTAGAAGAACAGTAAACAGTTTAAGAGCTGGGACTCAATATTCACCAAGCAAACTTACTAAGTACTGTTTGAGCCAGTATATTAGAGCTGTGGCAAAAGGTAGCACTTTGCTGATTACACCTTGCGACTTCAAACGTTAAGTGGAACAAATCAACAATGCGAATGACTTGCTGAGTAAGTTAAACAGGTGGGAAGTGAATATACACCACAAAAAATGGACGGCATCAGGAAAGCAACAAGGAAAACCTGAAGCAGTGTCACTAGCAAAGCTGGCAAGTTGCTTTGTACTTTCGCTGGTCGGAGAATGAAAAAGCATTTCCTGAGTGAGATGAACTTCTACAGTGTTACCTGAAGCAGAAGCTATAGACTTGTTATTCTTATTTAACGTAACTCCAGCGTAGTTTATTTAACGTAGCGGCCCAGGTTTTTCAGTTCCATTGAGGTATTGAGTTATACATCATTAAAATGAATGGCTAATTCATGAAGGATAGTGCAGCAGCAACTTGCAGTTACATAGAGCCTTTCCTGCAGTGTAGGGTAACGTCTCAAAGCACTCTATCGAGACAAGGCTGGTAATGAAGTTTATCAGGTGCCTTTTACTAGACATGTCAGTAGTTTTGTCTTGAACTGAACAACTGGCATTACCAGCTTTATAGGAAGAGAGCAATTAGCCTTAAAACAAATGATAAAGCTTCCCATGTTTTCACAATTACTTTATCCTTCCTGGTCTTTCTCACTGTGCCCTGGGGATAGAGATAGAAGGGAAGGGAGGATGCCTGCTGACCTAGTCAATAAACCTCTGAACAGCACTGAAGTGGCCTCGTAACTCAATAAGCACACATTTTCCTCTCTAAAGTGCGCAGAACGATTTACACAGAACGCAAATAAATGGAATTGAATCATTATTTAGAACTGAGGCATATTTTTAAAGTTTCAAATATTTAACGATTAAAGGTTTTAACATGATTTCAATGTTCTTCTAAGAATCAATCTGCAAAAAAATAAAATAGTGCCACAGGGAAAACGACAAAGCAGTCAGTGCTGTTATATTTCATTAAATGGATGAGAATTAACATCATAACCTGATGACTTAAAATATAATTCAGATCAATTCATTCATTTTCTCAAAAGATTCGAACTGTCTTCTCCAAATGTCAATTCATATTTCCAGACTCATTTCATAGGAAAATGCAACTGTTTGGTTTTCAGTGTAATAATAATAATCCTTGCATTTGATATAGCGCTTTTCACGTCGGGAGGACGTCCCAAAGCGCTTCACAGAACACACTGTAAAGTGAATTGACTGTATATTTGTGGGCGAACGCGGCAGCCAATTGCACACAGCAATGTCCCACAAACAGTCGTGGATTGAAAATAACCAATTTATTATTGTTTTTGGAGGGATTATTATTAGGCTCTGTGTGGAGTAAGGAAACTTGCCCAAGGTTTCGCCCTCTGCCTGGAAATGAACTCAGGTCTCTCGCTTGCAAAGCGAGTGCTTTAACCACTGAGCTACAGGACTCCGACAATACAGGAACGTTCTACAATATACTTAACCGCCTTTAACCCTTAATTTTCTTGCAGCAGCAGTGAAATCTGGATTCCCTTAACCAGCCTTTTTGTTGAACAAAAGGCTTTATCTTACACACCAGTGAGTGAGAACATGTAATGGTACAGTAATAATGCTGCATAGATGGTGTAAGTGTAATATGTAGTCTAAAAATATGTACACATTTGAAAATGACACATTCTGATTGTCTCCTCATTTTTGTATATACCATAATCATGTCTACACATTTGCACTCATGTATACCTCATACAACACCAACTTGCATTTATATAGATCCCTGAAGCGCTTACCTCTAGAGATGATTTATATACAAACCGTTTGGGGCCTCGAGATTCAAACTGTGAAACCCTGTCCCAACAAACTATTAAACCAGAAAAAGCACAGAGCAACAACACTGGCACAGACAACATTGTGAACACAATTTTTGAGTTTGAAGGCCAAACATGAGCTGGGACTGTGCATTGAATACACATTTTGTAATCTTCAACGTTGCACAATGATTTGTACCAAACTATTATCTGTCCCACTATCTTACCCTTACTTCCCTCTTCTGCAAATCATTCACTACAATGACACTATCACTTGTCAATCTACTCTCTGTGTGTCCTTGTTCTACTTTGGGGGCTTCTTTATTTTTTATGTTTGTTGTTTACACACATTATTGATCAACAGTCTGATCATCAACCCAATAATGTTTCCATCCTCTTCTCCCCTATCCCTACCATCAATGAATTTCCTGCACGTGGCATCATTAATGGAACTGAATCCCCTCATCGCAATCCTAAAATGTTTTTTAAAAAACAAAACTGCTGAAATGTGCTCTTAATCAATGGGTATCAAAAATTCAAGCAAGATTATAAAAACATAAAACAGACTGAACATTCAGTCTGACGTGTTATCAGCTCATGGTTGAACTGCAACTTAATACCATTTCACAATTTCCCTTTGCCAACAAAATATTTATCTAACTCCCTCTTAAATATTTCAATTGACCCACATCTGTAACCTTTTGGGGGGTAGTGAATTCCACGTGTCCACAACCCTCTGTGTGACAAAGTGCTTTCTCATTTCACTCCTAATTAGTTTAGCTTGAATTTTAATTTTAAGATGCTATCCTCTTATCTTGGATTCCCCTCCCAGAGGGCAAGGTTTCTCTCCAGCTACCTTGCCAAATCTCTTTATCATTTTAAACACCTCAATCAGATATAGATTTTTTTAAACGTTAAAATCCTCTCCTGCACTGCTCTCCTATTTCCTTCGGAGATTTGAACGTCCTGTCAGCTCAGAGATGGAATGTCCCGTCAGCTCTTTTCAACAAACAAGCAGACAAACAAGAGCGGAGTACAGGAAGCAGCTTAAAGCACAGTTCATGCGGGTGCAAGCGTATGTGTGTGTATGTTGGAGCTCCAGTTCACCTCCCCTCCCCCAGTGCTCCCCTTGCCACTCCCCATTCAGATCGCAAAACAAAAGGAGATAATACTATACACAGCACAGAAGCTCAGTGTGTAGGGCAAGTGGGTGGGGGGGTCTATTTGAAACACCTGCATGGTTTTTAGGATAAAACAAGGTGAAGCCCTCTTTAGCTTGTACCTAAGGCGGTTCTTTACGAACACCCTGTGGGCTTTCTTAATAATTACAATTACAATCTACTTAAAGCCCTAATTCACTGAAAAGTCCAGATGGTAATAGCTTTTATTACAGAGATGTTAGAGCTTCGACACTTCAATATTAACAATGGTAAAACATGCTTTACTTTTTCGGGCTGTCACAAGCGATTGAAAACGCTGTAAAACTTGCTGAGCTTGAAGCAAACATTTCAACCAATCAAATTCCCCAAGAGCCGTGTCCAAACACTGGCCCCGAGGGATGCCAGAGTTGCCTTATAACAAGACAAAGGCTGGAGAGATGGTGAAGTGCGTCACAATACAAACCAGGAGTCATTCTACAAGAATAGTCATTTAATTTCATCTTTAGACAATCGCGGGTGAAGTTGCTTTGTCCAAAGCCCTTAATTCTTGGGCAGTGAAGCCATGAAGTTCTGCTCACCAGGGCAGAAAGGTGAAAGAAAGCCTAATCAATGAAAGCAGGACGGTCTGCTCCAGTATTACTTTATAAGATCCCTCGAGGCAGGTCCAAAATACGGAGAGCGTGGCACCGTTTCCATAGCAACATCGCTCCCACGTTAAGTGAAACCAAAAGTTTTACAAAGCTTCACTAATGCAAATAGCTGTAAACTCTCTGACAGGTAACTGCAAACATCTCTCCTGTTCAGTTTAATCTTTCAAAAGCTCAGAGCATGAGATTTATAGCAGAAGGTCCTGTGGCTGCAGATGAGAAGAATGATGGCTGATCTGAAGACCTCTGAGCCTTGCTTAAACAGAGCAGCTCAATTTGGGGAGGTCACCTCACTATTCAAGTGATTTGTTGGTTAAACATGAAAAGGGATTTGAAATGCGCTCAAAAGACTTTGTGCTCTTTCTTACATGTGCAACAGTTTATATTTTTCTTAAACCGAAAGTGCTATTTTTTTTTGCTGGCAAATTTCTGACATTATGTTGGTTAAGAGGTGTTAAACCGCTATAACCTGTCCTTCTCTTCAACCGTTATAATCCTAACAATCTTTTGTCTTACGTCAAGAAAACAAAATGCAATGTGACGAAAAAATGACTTGAAAAATAGGAAGAAGTAATGTTTTTTTTTCCCCCCACCGTGTTGCAAATGTATCAGCCTTGTTTGTACGATTCAGCCCAGACTCACACAAGCAAGCAACGGGCAGGTACAAAGAGAGGAGGTAATAAAGCTTTTCTGATTTTATTTTAGGATTCCACATTGCAATTGCCCCTTCTCTCACCTTCAATCAGATACAACAATTATAAAGTGGTTCTAACTTGGGGATTTGCCAAAACTATCAAACTGCTTTAAAGATTTGTTGCTGTTCTGCTTCCCAACGTGTACAGCTGTCCCGTTAACTCCCTCAAATCAGTTAGTTTGCTTTGGCACCGAATCACAAGCATAAACTAACTGGTAAATATTGGATGGTGGGCTGGGTGAGCTTTCAGAAGAGAACCTCTCTGTCCGCTAGAAAAAGGGAATGTTAATGGAACCCAAGACAAATTTAAGCAAAACAATTTTTAACCCGTAATCAAAATCCTAGCTAATAACAAACAGACGGGGAAGCCAAATGTTGATAGAAATATGTGTGCAGGTGAGCACAGCGACACTCACCTGCTACCTAAATACAGCATGTGATGTCAAGTGTTTGCATAAGTGAAATTAAGCTCAGCATTAACAATGACTAAAAACAAACATCCACCCAGTTTTTCTTTGAGGTTATTGCACCTGGTGTAAATTGAACTGTTTGAAAAATAATATTCCTTTGGGAATTTTCTTATAATAATAATAATCCTTGCATTTGATATAGCTCCTTATCACGTCTTCAAAACGCTTCACAGGATATACTGTAAAGTGAATTGACTATATTTTGTGGGTGAAACGTGACAGCCAATTGCGCACAGCAGTGTCCCACAAACAGTTGTGGATTGAGTGGCTGAATTTTGTTTTTATTATTAGTTTTTGTTTTAAAGGGATTATTACGCCCAGAAAAGCCAATTGACTAACAACCGCGATCCTAAAGTTGCCTGACGCTTTGCCCAGCCCGGGAGTAGGTCCTCTCGCTTGCGAGACGAGTTCTGTAACCACAAAGCTACAGGACTCCACAAACACAATGTTTTTTGCAAAGAAAGCATTAAACAGTAAACAGATTATATCAAGGTCTAACGTTAGGTTTGAAGGCGAGTGTACGTACATGTCGATAGGGATCCGGAGTAATGTGGGAAGGAGCGGGGATACATCTGCCATAACCAGTAGCCTGGGCTCCAACAACTTCAGGATACACAGCCCAGTGTTGTATATTACAATAATACCTGGAAAGGATATCAAAACATTGTCATTAATAATTTCAGAGGAATTGTTCTTTCCATTTAGTTCCCAAATCTGGCCACACATTGTTCCCTAAACCAAAGCTGGCAAGTGACCCCTTCACCCCCGTCCCGTGTTAATTGCTGGAATCTGAGCACAAGTAAGAGGATGACTCCTAACAGTTTATTGCACCTTATAATAGGTTTTTAAGGAACTATTGCCAACAGCATTAAAAACTCTGAATATGTAAAAATGCCCCCTCCCACCCACCCGCACCCCCAATTAGTACAACCAGCCATAGCAGCTATAGCTCTGCACTGTCTGTCTGCACTTCTCTGGAAACAGCACCAGTAACATACTGGTACAGTCCTGACATAAATAACAGTCCGATCTGCAATCTTTGCACTCTACACCAGAATGCTGATTTTGAAATGTTCAAGTATACAGTGCGGATTTCCAGGCATTTTCTGCAAAATATACATCAGAGGTTTTTACAGCCAGTAACTATCATAATTTAGTATTACAGCAACAACACAAACCATCTCGTAGCATAAAATACTCAATCATAGACTGAATCTTGTGGGTCATTGGAGAATTATGTGTTTGTTAAGCAAAAGGTCATCTTAAAGAGATACAAATATAGGCCAATGCTGTAAGAGTTCATTAGTTACTCTTAATTAATCCCAAAACCTTGCTGTTGTGAATTTCAGTACAAAAGCTGCACATTTCTAACATTTGTATTAATAATAGTAATAATAGAAATATTCCTTGCATTTGATATAGCGCCTTATCACGTCGCTGACACGTCTCAAAGTGCTTCACAGAATATACTGTAAGGTGAATTGACTTTATGTTTTGTGGGTGAAACAGTACTTTGAAAAACATTGTTTTTTTTAAAAAAAGATAAGAGTTGGGAAAGCGAATAGAAACTGAACCACAATTCTGCCGTTTAATTTTTCCTGACCAATTTCATTCAGCAGGACATGGTTTTAGTTTACAGCAGCACTTTTTTTTGTTCATTTTGAAGACACCAAAATGTCTTGAAGAGACTCAAAACATTTGAAAACCACAAAACATGCAAATTATCCAATTTCTTGAAATCACAAACACATTGAACATACTGTGAGGTACTGTTGGGTTTACAGTAATCTGAACGATTTAGTTGTAAAATGCAAGTTTGTGGCATCTAAAAGCCATCAGGCTGAATTTGATCAACTGGAAAGTTTAAATGAAAAGTTAGTCCTTTCGAGAGGGAAGGGCAAAGATTAGTAAAAACAGCCTTTGGAGCTGATTTATTCAATTAAACTTTCTACTGATAACACAGTGCTGGATTCACAAGGTGAAACAGTTCTGTCGTGTCAACTAAAACCTAATAAATTGCAGCAGAAAAGAGTGAACAGGGAGCAAATGTCCCACAGTTCCTACAAAGAGCAGACACATAAACCAAGTGGCTCTATGTCCATTCTTCAAAATCTATTCACTTTCCCTTGGGTTGCTGTGAGTTGCAATAGCAGGCAATACAAAGGAACCTGGCCAATACCAAAATACTTCCATCAATAAGAGACAAATGATTGATAGAAAATGAAAAAAGTGGTCTTGCAGATTGATTCAGTGACTCATGTGAGGCAAGTCACAGCACAGTCTTCTTTTGTTAGCTAAAAACAAAAGCCTCTGGTTTAGAAACAAAATCTGAGCTATTCCTATCCTCATCAACAGGAACTTTCACTTATTTCTTTCTTCAGCTTGTAAGAACTATAAAGACAATCTTGGATTATCCCTCAAAATGTCTGGGGACAGATCAGGTAGGAGTCAGCATATGCGGAGGACAAGTTTGCAGGGCTGTGGGGAGAGAGTGGGGGAGTGGGGTTGATCAGGGCTATGGGGAGAGCAGGGGGAGTGGGGTTGATTTGGAAGGTCTTTTCAGAGCCGGTACAGACACGATGGGCCGAATGGCCTCCTCTTGTGCTGCATTAATTCTATGATTCTATGATATCACAAGGAGGAGGTTCCTAAGTGGTGTATAATTTCAAAAGAACCTATGGAGGTTTGCAATATAGCAATTAAAGATCTCGGAAGTTGTCCTGGCCACTCCATTTCTTAAGACTTAGTTGAAACTGTCCCCCTCTTCCGCTGGCTTCCAAAATGAGAGGAAGGAACCGCCGGGGATTATAACTCAAAGGAAAAATAAAATCAATTAGAATCTGTCTGAGCTGGCAGCCTGGCCTAGAGTGTTTGACGCTGCCGGAGTTAACTGTTGTGCCTCAACCACCGAGTGTCAACAAATGTTTCTACAGCAACGGATTCTCCGCACAACATCCCTTTCAGCCGTGTCAATGAAGGCACCCACACTGATAGAATCAGAAATCAGCAACTCAAACGCAGCGGTTTTAATAAAAACAATTTAAAATGCAGAAAAGTGTTGGAATGTTTTTCAATATTTGAAAACTTTGCAAAGGTTCCCTTGCTGGTCAAGTAATTTTTGAAAAATATATAATAGTGATTTAAAGTGGCTTTGATTAACATTTCAATAAATTAAAGTGCAAAATACTTCACAATGTCAGACATGGTACATGTTGGTCACATGTCTTATCAGCACAGCTGCAAAGCTGTGTATACACAAATATAGAATAGAATATAGAATAGAATATATAATGTAGATATAAAATAATATATGATATATATAATATATATAAAAAATACTATATAATATAATATATAACATATAATATAAAATATATTATATATCATGTACAGCACATGGACACCAAGCTGCCAAAAGAGGTTTGACTAATTTGATTGACCAACTGACCCAAAGAGCTTTGAGATATTTCAGAAATGTGACCGTACTAAGCTCTGGACCGCTAAATACTACAAACATGTTCACAGGTCAAGAAGCCAACTTCACACAGCTGTAGGGTTAAAGGCGCACTCAAAACCAAATGTTAGTCATTGCACTGGCAATGTAGTTTGTCAGTAAAATAAAAAACTAAGTGGATATCCTCTCAAAGTAGCTCTGGAGCTTCCCTCCTCCCTCGTGACACATCACTGTAGTATTTTGCAAAGAACTTGGGAAACACCTATTTGTTTTTTTAACTCTCCTCTGCCCCCCATCCCCCGCCCCGTGATGTGAATATTTGGTGCCTCAATTGTGATAGATTGGTAAGTGAACTGTAAATTAGATTTTCAGTTGAATAGCGTGTAGCTTCGGTTTAATATCAGATTTCGCCCACAAAATATACAGTCCATTCACTTTACAGTATATTCTGTGAAGCGCTTTGAGACGTCTCGAAGACATGATAAGGTGCTACATCAATTGAAAGGATTATTACTATTATATTAGACCTACTGCATAATTATCATATTAGCTGTAGTTCTAGAGGACTTTAATTAAGTTCCTTTGAAATCATGTTGCGTAAAAGTCATACGTCACTGTCTAGGAGGAGGAGAGTATCGGGGTGTTAAAGAAAATAGCAGCAGTCTGCCAGATTAAAAAAAAATCTTTTTGCAATCGGTAATGAAGTGGATCTTTGGGACTCGTCGTAAATTGCTGTAGAAAAGGTTACAAAGGGCCACCAGGGCTCGTTTTATTGTTTCATCATTAGTTATGGGCTATGAATAATGCAGGTTAAATCAGACGTCATAGTATAGTCAGTGCATGCTACAGTGTACAAGACATCTGGGGCCCTGATAAATAGATGAGAACCAGGTCAATTACAGCATTATACAATACCTAACAATCTTCTCCACGGTAGCTGCAAAAACCCGAGCTGCTCTAAATTCACTCGATTGTTCTCTTACGCCTCTTAGTGGCTGGTGCGACTCGCTCAGATGATAGCTGGCTCACTAACTTGCTAAAACAAATAATTTGTCCTTCTAATGATTATCCATCTGTCACCAGAGAAATACGAAATGTGGACACAGTGAATGCTGTTGAAGTCCCTCTTGTTTATTGTCACTCCTCCATTATGAGGTGACATCATTGGTTGACCAAGGTTCACATTTCTCGTAGAGAAAGCCTCAATGTCCTGAATTCACTGAGCGTAGAAATATTCTCCCTCATTCAACCATGTGCTATTAAACCTCGACACCATCTGCATGAAAGCCACCACCTGCTCCGAGCAGATGAATTATACAGGTACAGAGCCAAGTTAGTGGCCTGATGTGAAGGAAAACATTGCGAGTCATGGCTTGAAATTTAGTGGAAGCTTCAAACACATTTGCTGTGTACATCAGTACCTGGGCACCTTGATTTAGAGGGAAAATGTGTCTGGCATCAGTTCACTTCCCTTATAGTGCAATTTTGGTGTAATAACAATAACAATAACGTCCTAAAAGAAAAACCTTATGAAAAAAAAACTGAAATGTTTGTTCCAGCTGCAGTAGCCTCTTATATTGCAAACCAAAAAACAACTGCCTGAAATTCCTCGTTTGGATGGCAGGGAGGGAGGGAGCAGACGGTTTAACATCTCATCTAAAGGACGGCACATCTGGCAATGTAACACTTCCCTAGCATTGCATCAGAGAGTCAGGGCTTTGAGCTCGTAGCCGAGGCTAACACAAATTATGAGACGAAACAGCAATGGATGGTACAGCTATAGGAATAACGTTTAGCACTCATTATCTTCCATGTTTAAAATTTCAACTGTTCACCCCAAACTAGTGTTATTTCTAGAACCGATTAATCTGCCCTGCGAAACAATTCCTTAATGTTGGGGCCCAGTGAGTGCTAAATACGGAGACTTTAGAAACTTCACATAAATTTAAATACATGTTTTAAAGTCGTGACAAAGGTAACACAAACATCAAAAAAGTTACACTTTGGTGACAGTTCAGAGAATGACCTCCATCGTTTAATTCTCGGAACTTAGGACAGAACCTAAGTTCTAACTGGTACCAAAAGTTTCCTTCAGTGGACCAGTGAGAAAATAATAGATCTGGTGGCTAAGGTGGAAACGCCACGAGACAAAAGGTATATTATGGTTTATTTCATCTAAGTTGGATTATTTAAATTAAATGGCTGCTGCATTTCACCCACAAAATACACAGTTCATCCACTTTACAATATATTCTGTGAAGCACTTTTGAGACGTCGCAATGACGTGATAAGACGGGCGCTATATCAAATGCAAGGATTATTATTACTTATTTATATTACTTCATGTTTACCCATCTTGCTCAGTTTTTTTTTATCAGTGTAAATAATATGGTTTCCAAGAGATCCCGTCAATTCCTTTCAGCATTGGGTTTGTTTATCTTACCATCGAGAATGATGAAGTCCCACACAGCCAGGACTGAATCCCAGCAAGGCAAGGATGTAAAGAGTGTCAGAAACCAAGTGGTTATAAACAGCAATGGTGCCACCTCCAAATGTTCCTGCCGGGATTAAAACCAAAGCACGGAATTAAAACAATTGTGCAACACCATAAGGCATGATTCAAATATTAAGTACTTTTCTTCCCCGATCATACTGTTCCAACTTGTAGTTGGATATTTCAAAACAGTGCGTGGGGAGTGGAGTCAGTGGCAACCTAAATGACCTAGAAGTCAGCCGTTTTGGCTTCCCACGCTGATGTTTTGAGGGATTTTTTTTGGATAAGTGAATATCAGGATCCTCACAAAGCTTCTATGCAGAGAACTACAAATCTACCCAATTTTTCTGAAAGACCAAGTACCAAATAATTCTCAGTCAGAGCCCAGACAAACTGCTACAGCAAAAACAACTCACATTTATACAGAGCCCTGCACAAAATATAGCATTTCTGAACTACTGTACTAGAATTGATCACGGTTTTTCTTTATCAATTACCCCCCTGGTGTGACAATATAACTACTGACAGAACAATTGGCTGCAACCAACTTGCATTTTGCAGCTTATCAAAATATCCCCCCGGTTTATCCACAAAGGGCCAATCCCAATTAGTGCAGGTACTCGGCTCTTTACTGTACTTCAAAAAAGTTCTTTAGAGAAAGGATCAAAAAGACTAGTTTTACTCTTAAAATGTTACCATGTGCTGCCAGAGTTTAGGCATACGATGCTTGAGCAGTTGTTGAAAGATCTTGGCGTGCCTCTGAATTCTGTGGAAACAAACCGTTATAGTGTCACAAACATGTTTTAGCCTGTTACAGCAGGTCTTGAAAAGGTTTTATAAAAATGTAGATGTTTAATTTTTATGAAAATATTTTGCCCAAAAAACACACAGTCGCTACACTTTACAGTATATGCTGTGAAGCGCTTTGAGACGTCTCAAAGGGGGCGAGAGAGCGGGGGGAGAGCGGCGGGAGGAGGCAGAGATACGGGGTTAACGATTTATACGATGGGGCG